GTGTGGGACCTTATCAAAGGCTTTCTTAAAGTCTAGAAATAGGACTGATACAAGGAGTCCGCTGTCTCGTTTCAGAGTTATATCATTCAGGTAGTCTACTAGGCATGTGTCGCATGATCTGGACCTAAAAAAGCCATGCTGCGAGGTCGAGATGAGATTATTAGTTAGTCGATGTTGGACAACGGCCGCCGTAACTACTTTTTCCATCACTCTGGATACCACTGAAGTTATATTTATAGGCCGGTAATTTTCAACGTTTGCTTCAGGTCCTGTTTTAATTTTGGGAATGATATGTGTAGTTTTCCAGGCAGTAGGGTAACACTCTGAAGAGAGTGATATCGCGAATAGTTTGAGAAGCAAAACACACATATCATCACCTCCACGTTTTAACATGCTAGATGGAATACCATCTGGTCCATCAGTGTAGGAGTGTTTCAATGTACTGATTGCCTTGGAGATATTTTGTACATTGAATTCTACATTAGTAATTTCACAGGGAGTTACTGGGATTGGTTCTGAATCATTAAATGGTTTTTCGTTAGTTAGTGAGGAACAAAAGTGCTTACTAAATTATTCTGTGACAAGTTTGGGATCTTCATATACTTGTTTGCTTTTAATGAATATACTCCCTCTCGATTTAGAGCGTTTAAGTTTATTTTGGAGTAGTATGGTGAGTGCAAAGGAGTTATTATTAAGTTCAACTGCACGTTTTTCCTGTGCTACTGCTTTCTGTTTAGTTATTGCCTCTGTTCGGACAAGTATTCCTGTCATCGTTATTAAAAAGGAAAAGTCATTTAAGTTGTGGAATCGAGTACAATGTCTTTGAAGACGTCTTCTTGTGCTGACCGGTATATAGAGATCTTTGGAGAACGTAGGTTTACAGTATTCTAAAGGTGCGATGTTGTTGATGATACTTCTGATGTTGTGATAAAATATATTGGTTAATGTGTCGGTATCGTCTGAGGTAAAGAAAGTTTTCCAATCAGTGCTTCTTAGGTAATTGTGGAAGTTATTCCAACCAACCTTGCGATAGTTTCTACGCAGTGTTACGGTTTTACTTCTATCAGTTGTGGTTTTTACATTAAGACTGCATACGACAATGTTATGATCACTACCTGGGAACGTTTTTCCAATATACAAAGTATTGGGGATGAGGCCACTGGTAAAGTCTAAGTCTAAGATGTTTTGATGTCTGGTAGGGCTATCGACATACTGAGTCCATTGTCCAAGCTCTAGACATTCAATAAATGATTCATAACGTCTCGGCGCTTTGACTGGCAGCCAAGAAATTTTGGGCATATTGAAGTCACCACAAATGAGCTTGCCTGTCAATGAGAGGGATGATGCTAGTGTGAATACCTCCGATAATACTGCTATTTCATCTATTGATGCGTTGGGTTGACGACAAACACAGCCGAGCAGTAAGGTAACGGAATTCGACGGCTTTAATACGATCCACACCAAATCCTTCAGTTTGTTTAGTCCAGGCATATCACATAGTAGTGAGTTTAGGCTAGAGTGAGCGTAAATAAGGCACCCTCCGCCTCGTCCATTCAATCTGTCGCTTCTATATAGGAGGTAGTTATCAAGAGATATACTTCGGTCGGAAATATTACTGTTCGTCCATTCTTCAGATATCATAATAAGTGATGGTTGATATATGGATACAAACAGGGCTAAATCCGTCCTTTTGTTGCAGATCGATCGAGCGTTGATAAGACATATATTAAGCAAGTGGCCTACTAAGTTAAAATGGGTGAGGGTATCTCGGATAAAGTCGTCGTAACCCTCGCAGGTGTGAGATGATTTGGAAGTGAGGGATTGGATGTTCTTCATTAGCTCGGTATTTTGATAGCTAGACTTAGTGGGAGATGTATCAAATGAGCTAGTGAAGTTGATTGGGGAGTTTACCCAGGAGGAAAGGGTGGGAGTACTCTCTGACGGAAACTGTACGGAGGAAACAAATTTATGGTTTGCATGTGGTTTGAAATAACCTGGGTTTCGCTTCAACAGAGGTGTCACTTGGGGTCTTATTCCAAAAAAATATTGTACAGGCCTACTGTGAAGTGCATGGTTATTTACAAAATAGCCCCTGCTATGGCTGTTTAGGTTAGCGTGAGAGGGGTCTGCTACGCGTAACTGGGAGGAGTTGCGACTGTTGTTACACATGGGAGCCGTTGTTATGTGATGGGTCGGTGCTAAAGGACGTGAGAAGTTTTCCTTCTGGAAGTAATTACAGTTGCGATCCTGAGGAATGTAGGTAGGGTGTGTAGTGAGAAACCTATTATTACCATTCTTATTTATGGTTTTAGGCTTCAGGGGGTGACTTGGGTGGCCAGTTCTCTGGTAGTTTTCGTTAGTCTGCGTGTAAGAAGGCTTGCTACGCTGAAGCCCACCACCCATTTTGCAACTTAGAGGTGTTGAAGGCAAGTTATACGATACCAGCGGGGAGAACCTGTTCACTGTTCTTGGGATACCTACAGAGCAGTTGGGTTCAATCTTAAGTGTTTCCCTATTCGGTATCATGAGTTTTGTCTTCCCACCCTTTGGAACGAAGGTGGGGACATGGTCTTAATCTTAAATACCTTAGGAGTCTGTTCAGTCATAGGGGAATATTAAGTACGAGAATACAAGAGAAAAATATATAGATATCCTGAAACACAGGGGGAAAATATCACAATGTATAAAAAAATAAAAATTAAGGCAATAATATATAAAAAAATTCCCAAAAAGGAACAGACTCACAGTTGCAATTCGGTGTACCAGATCACGTCAGGCTCACCAATGATTAATGACACAGGTATTCAGTGTTTGACAACGCTTCTACCAGCAACACCTTCTAATATAATTCGTAACCACCCAGAGAAATCAAAAGACAGAGTCGACGAGATCGGGAGAGTGTATTTGGCGATTATCAACATATCGGAATTCTCTGATCTAATCTGGCTAGCGATTGCGATAGATGTTGAGCACAGCGTTACCACACGTGATCTGGTGCGGATGCCTGACCGAGCGCCTTCAGCTAGATGAGTCCACTAAAACATATGGTCAGCATCCAATGTCGAAAACTTAGAGCTATTTATTTTGTGGATTTATTTACCGCTACAGGCATTTTCTAGTACCATAATCACTTGCTCACTGTGATGATTGCATGAACTAATGTTTCCTTTGTGTTCGATGTCTTTCTGATTTCGAATCCCAAATACAGAACGTTCGTTCGTGGCCACCTAGTTCTTCCTGGTTTAAATTGCGACGTTTTTGGGATTCCTAGTTCGTTTGGTAGTTCAAATACTTCTACTCATCACATTGGCGACACGATGGAGCCTGTGATAGAATAGATGAAGATACACAGAAATTGTGAAGCTTTTAAAGATTTTATAGAAATATTCTAAATTTGGAGCATGACCAAGAAAGATGTGAAGGTTGATAAAACTGTCGCTTACTTCCTCACATTGATTGGAAAAGAAGCCTACAATTTATTGAAAACGGTGGCATTTCCACAAAAGCCCATGTCACTTCACTTCAGGGAACTACTATTAAGTCATGTATAGTGCACCAGTTTTGGATGTCGTGAGTCAGCGGAATTACACAGGATGGTTCGTCAGAATAACCAAAGGGTTAGGAAATTCATCCTTGGATCTCAAACACAAGCTTAGAAGTGCGAATTCGATAATCAACTTCATGCAGCTGAGGGATCGACTGATTGCAAGACCTAGCACACAATACCTGGAAAGAGTGCTGTTAAAATGCCGAACTGTTCTTTCCAAGATGATAGAACTACATGTGTCAACTATGTGACGGTGAATGAACTTGATAACCAGTCGGTGAGAATTTCTAATACTTTGCTCAGTCGTGATGATGAAATACACTGTCATGGTCAATCAAACTTGCGTTTGCTTAATAGTGATTCCTATTGTCGTGAAAATATGGAAGGCGATTCAACAAGGAGTTGCAAAGCAGACTACAACTGTGAGTACGTGTTTGGTAAATGTTTACTCTGTGGAAAATTTCATTCAAGTATTTCATGTTCATTTCGTATTGCCAAATGTTTTAAATGTGGTAAGATATGACTAATTTAGTCAGTATGCAAATGTTATCTTGATTTTTCTGCAAGTAATACTAAAGCTTTTAATTTAGATCCCATTATTCAGGGTGTCCTTAATGATCATTTGTCTTTATCCACCATTTCGAAGAGCAATGTTCATATACTAAGGTGATAATATATATATATATCTTGTTTAATTTCATGACTTTACTATTGACACAAGCAGTATAGAGTCCATTATTTCATTCAAGAACTTGAAATCTTTGGATCCTAATGTTGTGGTAACACCCACTGAAGTCTCAATATTGGGGATTACTGGATGCAAACTGTCGACTCGAGAATGCTGCGACTTGTTAATTAAAGATGATAATTCTTCATACATGCCTTGTGAACTTTTAGTTAGAAAAACGGGGTTGTCCATACTGGGTTTAAAAAAATTGAAAAGGCTTAAAGTGTAGTTTTCTTTACCAGTTTCTGAGGAAACCTCTGGTACTTTACCTTAAGATTTGATAGCTGCGTGTGCACAGTGCAATGCAGGGATGGAAATTCAGCCACATAAAACTTTAAGTACATGGTGACCCAGTATTTCTTATACGACGAGTAATTCCTTATGGTTTTCGAAAAACAGTAAATAAGACATTAAAGGATTAGTGTGCTAAAGTTGTAATTGAACCGATTCAGACTATAGACTAACACTGAACTCCCATTTGTTGGAGCAAACATGCACGACGGTGGAAGTTGAAGATATTGGTAATGGATTTTATGGTTCTAAAGTGTTTCCGAAAGTTGACTTTAAAAATGCTTTTCTTTAATACCTTTTAGGTCAATCTTCATCTATTTTGACGACAATTGGCACTCCTTGTGGCCTGTTCAAACTCCATTCCCTTCCGTTCGGTCTAAGTTGTTCTCTATCCACACCAGGTAGTGATTAATATGGTATTCAGTGATCTTGAAGGTGTTGGAGTTGGTCAAGGTGGTTTCATTGTTCATGGTTCTGATAAGGTAGTTCGTGACCGGAAACTTATTGCTTTTTGGCGTCGTCTAATTGAGAAGAATATTACGGTGAATCCAAATAAGTGTTCATTTTGTGTATCTAGTTTTGAATGTCTTGGATACCTAGCTGATAGTAATGGTTTGAGACCAGATATGAAACCACTAGCTCCACTGACAAATGCACCATTTCAGAAAAATCTTACAGATTCACATTCACTAGTGGGTGATCTTCAAGATTATTCACGTTTTATCTCTGATTTTTCTCGTTGTGCCAATTGTTTACTTAATATTTTGATATCCAATACGCTTAAATGGGGTCAACAACAAGAGTCATGCTTACGAAGTCTACTGAAGT